AAAAATGAAAAAAAAAAAAATGAAAAAAAAAAAAAATGAAAAAAAAATAAATGAAAAATGAGCTGGGACTCTAAGAGTATTAATCAGCCTCCTTTTCTTTTTGTAAAGCTTCGCTTATGTTCCCACAGATTGTAAGGCAATTTGGAAGCATACTATTCTCGGACAAAAAAAATAAAAAACAGCATATTCATTCAATTCTTTTTTTTTTTTTTTTGTTTAGAGAGAGAGAAAAATAGCATACTTATGACCATTTATTAAGCCATAGCAAACACAGCCCCACCATTTTCATCTTTTTTTTTTTTTTTTTTTTTTTTTATGACGTTTTTTTTTTTTATTCTCATTTTTTTTTTTTTTTTTTTTTTTTTTTTTCTTATTATTTTTTTTTTTTTTTTTTTTTTTTTTATTCTTATTATTATTTTTTATAAGGGTGACGGCCTTGAAATATAATCATTGAGCAGCTGACCGGCCCCAGGCAATTCAGGCAATTCAGAAATATCTGGGTTTATTAAATTAAATCTATTACCATCATCTGGATTCAAACTCTGGTCTGTATTTTAACAGGTCATGGGTGTAGCGCACTCAGCCCCTGAAGATGGCCATTCTGGTGAGGTGGCCGAAACATGTTCGGGTGAATCGCCGACCTCGTGCCTTGTACCGATCATATTTTTTTTGAGGCGAGGTTACTTTTGCGCTACTTCCGAGTTCTTTTCTCTCCCCCTTCCTCCTCTATTTTCTTCTCCTCCTCCTCCTCCCTTTCTTCTTTCCTCTCCTCTCCTCTCTGCTTTCATCTCCTTTCGCTTACTCCCTTCTTCTCTCTCTCTCTTCTTCTCTCTCTCTCTCTCTCTCTCTCTCTCTCTCTCTCTCTCTCTCTCTCTCTCTCTCTCTCTCTCTCTCTCTCTCTCTCTCCCTTGTCTTTCTCTCCTCTTTCCCTCCATTTTGTCTTTTTTCACGAGTTTCGTGCATGGTTTGGTGATGTTAATCGATCGTCTTCTTCGCTGCACGGTCCGGGCTATGCTCAACTGTCGCGATCTCTCCGTCGACTTTCCAAGTCATGCAGATTATGAGATCAACCATTGCTGCCAAAGGAGTTAAGAAAAAAAAAAAAAAAAAAAAGAAGTGGAGAGAAGCGGAAAAAGAGGACAAGAGCGTATATACTTTATACAAGAACCACCAGTACATTGTTTTTTGCACGAGAGCTGGGTAATGCCTCTATTCCCTCAGAACAGCTCAGAATATAGCTAAGACTATTGCTCAGAATATAGCTCAGAATATAGCTCGATTTCCTCAGAACAGCTCAGAATATAGCTTAGAACACAGCTCAGAATATATAGCTTAATTACCTATATAGCTCAGAATATAGCTGAGAATAGCTCTCTCAGAGTAGTTAAGATTCTTTAGAATAGTTAATTAACAATAGGTTTGGAGAGTGACTTATGTTTGAAAAAAAATATATATGGTGGTCAACAAGTGCAGTGGGGTAGAGGAGGAGAATAGAATTACCAATACTTACTCTTTCGAAGAGGTTTTTTTTTTTTTTTTTTAGCCATAGTTACGCACCAAATTTTCCAACTCTGGTGAGCCACACCTAGTATAATTATAAGAAAATAAGAATATTATAACGCAGGGGAGTAGAATAGTCAGGGGGGGGGGGGGGGCTAAGACGTAGTTATTGTAATCATCTATTACTAATATAAGGGGGTGTAGTTCCACTGCTGTAAATAAGTTACTGCAGTGAATAAATTATTTACAGTCACTTGTTTACGGCTACCTTCCCTCCCCGACTCACTACAGCTAACCTCGTACGATTAGAAATGAAGAGAGCTTAGGAGAGATTAGGAGAGGAGAGATTAGGAGAGTGAAGGAGAGTGTGGTACCCTACACTGTGCACTGCAGGATGTGTGACTTTCAAGAATTTAGGGAACAGCAGGTCTGATTTTGGTATGTCTGGCGCGGTGGGGTTAAGCCTCTGGCTGGAGAGCGTGGCTCATCGATGCAGGCTGTAGCTATGGATGTTGGCCATAGCTACAGGATGTTGGGCTGTTTCGCAGGCTGTAATGAAGTCCTCCTTTTGTTAAAAAATATAAAAAAGAAGAAGAAGAAGAAGAACATGGCACATCTCAATTGCTCAATTAAGCGAAAGAAGAAGAAGAAAAAGAAGAAGAAGAAGAAGAAGAAGAAGAAGAAGAAGAAGAAGAAGAAGAAGAGGTAGACGAAAACAACACCATAGTATCCATGCTGGAAATGTGATAACTCCCTTGCTTAATTAAGCGAAAGAAGAAGAAGAAGAAGAAGAAGAAGAAGAAGAAGAAGAAGAAGAAGAAGAAGAAGAAGAAGAAGAAGAAGAAGAAAACAGCATTATACTATCCATGCTGGAAATGCGATAACTGAACAAGTTTCACCAATCGCCAGCTGCTCCCCAGAGATCTCAGCACCACCACAATTCTTCCCCAACTGTACATAATAACTTACTCAGTAGTTCTTCTCTTTTGGAGCATTACGGCTCGTCATCCTCGTTTTGTTTAAATGCTGGAAAGCAGGTCCAGAGTCCCTCTCAAAAGATAATGGGATTTCCTTTTTTCTTTTTTTTAACCACTCATCAGTGACTCGCCCACCTGAGAAGAAAAGACGCAAGTTTCCCCACATCTGCTCCTCTCCTCTCCTCTCCTCTCCTCTCCCTCTCCCCTCTCCTCTCTCCTCTCCTCTTCTCTCTCCTCTCCTCTCTGCTTGCCGACGTGACTTGTACAAATCTTCTCTCAATCAATGTTCTTCGATTTGCAGTTGCAGAAATGTTCGCTTACGCTATGTTTCTTACCGCATCGTCAATTGCATTCACGAGGTGAGGCACCGTCGCCGTGCTCAACCCGGCCATGCTAATGCGTCCGTCACCTGTCATATAGACATGATACTTCTCTCTCATGAAGTCGACTTGCGGCTTGGTCAGGCCTGTGAAAGTGAACATGCCAATCTGCTTCAGGATGTGAGTCCAGTCGCCTGGTGTACCTCTCTGCAGCAGAGCGTCATAAAGCTTATGCCTCATTTCAATGATCCTGTCAGCCATGCCCTTGAGCTCGGCCTTCCAGTCGTGAAGCAACTTCTCTTCGCTTAGTACGGTCGCTACGATGGCTGCACCATGGAGTGGAGGGCTGGAGTACATCGGGCGGATGACGAGCTTCAGCTGGCCCTCGACAAGCTTCGCAGCCGCTGCAGTCGCGCAAACCATACTCAGCGCGCCAACCCTCTCTCCGTAAAGCCCCATGTTCTTGGCGTAACTCTGCGCAAGCGCGAGCTCGCCACCGTCCGCCGCGAAACTCCTCAACGCGTACGCATCGGCATCGAGATCCCCGCTCGCGAACCCCTGATACGCACTGTCGAAGAACGGAAACTGCCCCTTAGCTCTGATGAGCTGTCGAATGGCGTCCCACTGCTCGGGGAGAGGGTCGACACCAGTGGGGTTGTGTGCACACACATGCAGCAGAATGATGGCCCCATCCGGAGCCGCTTTTAGGTCCTCCATCATTCCGGTGAAATTCAGGCCTCTCGTCGCGGGGTCGTAGTAGCGATACGATTGCACTTTTAGACCCGCCTTCGGGAATATCTTGTTGTGGTTGCCCCAGGTTGGGACTGGGACATAGATGATGGGCGTGTGGTAGTGCTGGCCCATAAACTCTGCACCGACGCGCAGCGACCCGGTCCCGGAAAGACCTTGCACCGTTGTTATGCGATTCGCTACAACAGCCGGATGGTCAGCGCCGAATGCCAATTCCTTGCTTAGCTTGTTGAATGCAGCAAGGCCAACGATCGGCAAGTACTCCTTATAGCGGCTCCTGTCGGCCACGAGACGAGCTTCAGCTTGCCGGACGACTTCCAAAACCAATGGCTTTCCCTCATCCGTTCGATAAGCTCCGACTCCAAGATTCAGCTTGACCGGATTCGGGTCCTTATTGTATGCGACCGTCACCCCGAGAATAGCATCCTCCGGGGCTTCCGTCAACTTTTCCCAAACGGAAATGGGCATGGCTTGGGCACTCGCCATTGTGGGCAGTGGCAAAAAAAAAAAAACAGTGCGCACTGCAATGTCACCTCCGCCTTTCTGTTCCTTGTCCTCCGGCTGCTGTACACAGACAATGTGTCACAAACTAGTAGGGTTAAAACAAACAAACAAACAAACAAACAAACAAACAAACAAACAAAACAAAACAAAACAAAACAAAAACAAAACTAAAAACAAAAACAAACAACTAGTAGGGAACCCACTCTCCCCGGGCGAGGTCCCACTAGCAAAGAGGGTTGGATAGATATCCTGAATCTGGACGTGTTGTAAGCAGAGATGCAGAAAAGCAGTTCAATATCGATTTAATGCACCTCTCCACAAACATGTCCAGGGTCAGGCATTCTATCCGATCCTCTTTGCTAGGCGTTAATGTCAAGGGCCCACGGCCGATGGGTGGGACCACCAGCCATTGTTTCCTTTTGGCTGGCACCACCAGCCATTGAGGTCTCATAGCCCCAAAGCTTGGTTAACGGGGGCGTTAATGCCAAGGGCCCACAGCCGATGTAGAGGAGCCAAGTACTGGCGGTTAAAACAACCAGTGCATCCAGCTATCGTTCGGGGCCCCTTTTCAGAGGCCGCCCGCCGCCGATTCAATTTTTCTACGCCGCTGGGCCTCCAAAAATTTTGTGGGCGACGAGTTTTCTTTTCCGCAGGGCTGGGCCCGTGTACTGGGGGTTAAGCACGGGTTGGGCGGTACTGCTGTCTCTTATACACATCTAGATGTGTATAAGAGACAGCCATGGAGGGGCTCTGCCAGTGATTTCTGATGATGTTGCCGTATGAGGGGATACTCCCGCTTGAAGGTTTTATACCACCAGGCTAGACGTTTTTATTCTTGTTTCTTTCTTTTTTTTCTAGAAATTCCGATGGCAGCGTGGAGAGGAGGATCATGTGACTTTGAGAGAAAGCACCAAATGTTTGGCTTCACAGAAGCCCTAAACCATAAAGCAGACAGAGTCCATCATGCAGGCAAACAAAAAGAGGGCCCACCTGAACCTTGTAAAAATGACTAGGGGGGTCGAAAAAGGCGAAAACCCCGGCCTCGACCTCCTGTTGAAATCACACAAAGAGAAAACTCATCAATGCGGTCGAAGAAGGCGGCCTGGGCTTGGAAGTCTTTCTGTATTTTTGACTTGCTTGAAACCAGAAGTATGTGTGGGCCTAGATGAACAAGTACAAGGTGCCAGGTGCCTGGGCCCAGAAGAAGAAGTACCAGGGCTGGAGAACCATAGTAGTATCGCTTTGATTTGTTTGGTTGTCATATATATGACAGGGATAGTGCTGCAGGTTTGAGTGGTGCAGCCATCTGCAGGCTCGTACTACGGGGGGATGCCCCCCCCCCCCCCCCCCCTTATTAAGGCCAGTGGATCATGTTAAAAAAAAAAGGGAAAAAAAGTTTTGAGCAATGCATCTGTTCTTGACACATGTTTTGAGGGAACGTTCGTGTTTTTTTGGACAAGACAATCGCGTGCTGGTGGCAGAGACGAGGCAGCCATGTTCTGGAGGTTGGCTACCTTCTTCCCTCGAATACAACGTACGCTAATTATAGCTGTACTTGGAGTATCTTTCAGTCTAAATACAGCTATAGCTACCGTACGTTGTATTCGGGGGAAGAAGGTGGTATGGAAGACCTGTATGATTGTGAATGAAGCTTGAAATTGAGTCGGATCATTGCCTGGGGTTGAATTGTGAGGTCCCGGTAGGGGAGTTCACGGGCGCAGCGCTGCTGAGAGTGCTGCGCCCGATGGGAAGGGATCTAAGAAAGTGTCTGGTAATAAGGCTATACTCAACATCGCCCACTTCGTGGGGGAAGGGGCCTATATCCAGAAATATCTATCTATCCTAATCGTAAGTTGAGTTGGAGAGCTGTATGATAGGTGACTATCTCATACGGTTCGGAGAGGACTCGAGTAATCACCAAGGGTGTGAAAGTTTATCAACGTTCGATAATGTTCTCGATAAACTAGTAGGTTTATGTAGGACCACGCCCGTCTCAGCACATTGAAACTGTGGACCAAATTTCTTCAGTGTGCTTCTTTTGCCCGGTGGATGCTGGACGCTCTTGCACGTACGTATTGGCGGCAGGTACAGCGGCGGGAGGACGATGGTTGAGGAGTGGCGCGGTGGTGGGAGATGGCGTGATGGTGCCAACCTGCTGCGAATGGTGGGAAAGGGATTACGCAAAGTATACGAGGAGGGGAGGCGGCAGCCGGCAAATCATCGGTCTTCTTCTCCAGTTGCGGTCCATATCAATGGCTGTCGTGACGGTCCACTCGAATTCTGCCCGCTCAATATATCGTCCGGAAGGTAAGTCTACCTAAGTGAGCTATGGTTGTGAGGAAGAGGCGCGCGACAGGTGAAACCTCCTTCCCTCTTTCCCAGCTGTACTACGGTAAGCGGTTGCAACTCCCGTAAGGTGTAGGGAAGTCGTGCCTCACGTAGGCCCTATCCTGTCGTAGGGGCTCGCGAGAGGTATGGCTGGCGCACTCGGCCTGAGCGGCTTTGTGGAAGCTCCATGTATATATTCGCGACGAGGATTTAGACCAACTCCTGCGTGACGCGGCCGGGAGGGTCCCGCGCTGCCCCCGTGCGGTGCCGGACCGATGCGCTCGACACCGGGATGAGAAGGATCGCGTAGCCAAGGAAACCATAAGTCTTACTGCCAGCTATGGCAGGACGTGCATAACAAATTCTCTAAACTGACCGCCTTGTGACGCCCAACCTCACGCCCGACGCGACTTCCTGATCGGAGTGTGAGAGCGCTTGGAAGCGCAAAAGGGAGTGTGCCAAGGAAGTCACGCGGCCGCTAGGGTGGTTCTTGAACTCCCTGTGGCGACTCGCCAACAGGCTTGGCGAGGGGGTGTCACACTGTTTTTGATTCCCGGTAGGAATTGAAGATGGTTGTTTTTGTCTTTGGTGTTAATTCTGCTTCGAGCCTGAGAAGCTAACAGTGGGAGGAGGGGAGTCCTTCCTTCCCCAATTTGGTGTAGGGTTTGAAGGGTGGGAGATAAGCGGTGTGGTGAGGAAGATGGGATAGGAGGTTGTTCTTGTTGACTTGGAATTGAAGCTACGATGGCCTTTGACATCCATTAATGACCTCGTAACCGAGCTTTTTAATTCTGTTGTTTTACATTGATAATAATTTGGGTGTTTTGATTTATGATTCTCGAATGTTTTTTCTAGGTTGGTTGACTGGAGGAGTTCGTATTTTGTTTCGTTTGATTTTCAATGTGAGAGTATTTCGTTTTTTTGACATCTCCTGGACCAGGTATCATTCACAACGATTTTCTGTGCAATTCCTAGTCATGAGTACGATCCTTGCCATTTAGTCGTTTCCTGTAAACAATAATCATATCTACGGTCTGGATTGTTTTCTTGATTTTTGATATTCGTAAGTCCAAAAATGAACATCTTAGATAGATTTCTTAAACCACTTTAAAAGACAAAAACCTTAAACTCTAAAAAATGTTTCAGACACATTTTGCAAATTCGTTTCTGATCTCCGATGCCTAAAAGTAGGCTTCTGAAGTATTTTTCAAAAAAAAAACGAAAAAACCTACGTCTGCTAATCTCAACCTCTTGGTCTTGAGTACCGTGCGGTAAATTTTGACTAGTCAAAGCATGCCCGGGTCTATACCGTGCGGTACATTTTGATTCGGATTTTTTTTTTTTGTTTGCTAATCTCAACCTTCTGGTCTTGAGTGGTATAATTATGGCTTGCTGTGCATATGTGTGGGGTCTTCCTTGAGGGTTGGAGCCTCCCCCCGTGAGGGTTTCACAAGGCGGGAGGTGTTATTCTTCGAGGGGGGAGGCGGTATTTGGGGATAGTCGTCTCTTAGCCAGACCGATTTAGGGTCGGATCAGTACTGTCGGGTGGGGAGAGAAGGCAAGGGGATGGCTGCTTATAGCAGAGTGTTCTTTGAGGGAAGGAGTGACTTTGATGGCTACACAGTGAGCCGAAGGGGGGGGAAAGCTAGAATTGAAGGAAGGAAGGCAGCAGGGGGATTTTCAACAGAAAAAGGTTGTTTGTTAGGGTAAGTAGGTTAGAAGGACGATGGTGGGACGACACAGGCCGCTGCTGGAGCCTCTGCTCTGTAACCCAGGGGGAGCTTGAGGCCTGTGAAGTTATGCCGAGGGTGGAAGGCAGAACCAGATCGTCCGACGTAGTTGGCGCCGGGGTATTGACCCTGTAACCTGCTTAGGGGCTCGCCGCTGAGGGAATTGTCGAGGGAGGAAGGCACTTCCTGTCCGTCAGAGCTAGGTTGGTCGGTACTGGGGAGGGTTGTGGTGCCCTGTTACCCTAGCAGAAGGGGGTATGAGATCAAGTGAGTTCTGGTACGAGGACTGTAATCCTGGACCGACGCCCCGTCTGTTGAAAGGGGGAATCTATGATAGTACGCAGTTTTAGTCTTGCCCCCCCTGCTCTCATATTTTTCTAAAGCTTTTCGAATGTCCCAAAAAGAGTTGGTTGCTTAGTGGTCCTAGAAATGTTTTTTAGGACTCTGGGATCCCTACGAACTCTTCTTAGTTGGCTTCGATGCTGCTATACTAAGTGATCTGCAACTGTTCGATGTCAGAACGACGCTGAGCGGTGCTGGGGTGTTGCCCTGTAACCTGCGCTGCAGGAGCGTGAGATCTGGTAGAGAGATCTGGGGATGTCTTGGGGTGGGCTTTCCACGGGACAACCAAGGGTTGCTGCCGGGACGACGCTGGTCGGAGCTGGGGTGAGTTGTGTTGCCCTGTAACCCAGCAGAAAGTGGGGGTGTGAGACCTAGAAGAGATCGACAGGGAGTAAGACAGTTTTGGAGAAGGGTTTGTGTGGGATTTCGAGGTTTTCGGAATAATCGTAGGACCTTTGTGGCCTATTCTCATGCTTCTTGAACGACGGTAAGAGTTCTTTAGGAACCTCAAAAACAGAATAAGGTGAGTGGGAGAAGATGGTGGGTTATCACATGCCCTACCAGTGAGGGGGCTAGCTGGTAGGATGTGAGCATGGTGTAGCAGCAGCAGAGATGGTGGCTCTGCTGCAGTCAGTCTTGCCGGAGTGAGGTAAAGTGGAT